CCTCATGCCTGTGAGGCACTCTCTGTAAACGTTCACAAAGATCTCATTTTTCTCTTCAATCCCCCCACACGGCTGCTACTCTAAATCCTTCAAGCTAATTAGAACACAAGGCTTTAACAAACAACTAAAACAGCATACTGTCTATATGTATACCAATTTTAAATAATAATTTTCTTTATGAAATGACGTAAGCCAGCAATCTGTGGCTCTGCAAATTCAGATGAAAGAACAACGGTTTACATCCAAAACATTTTACTATCCATTCCCATGTAACACATGGAAAGTTAGGTATGGAACTAAACTAAAAAACAACAACAAACACATAACCACAGTGAAGTCTTTGCCTGTTGAGCTGATACGTTAGCAAAAACCTATAGGCAATTAATGCCATATAACAGAAGATTTAATTTATGTCACAGAATGAAATATCCTGTAACTAACCTTGCAGAATATTATATTATATATATTAAAGACATGGCCCTTAAATCCCTGTTTTCTGTCTGTGATCTTTGAGGTTACAGAATCAGGTGGGAATCATGAGATTTTGCCAGAAATTATGGTGATCTAATTCAGGGCTAGGCAACCTATGGCACACGTGCCGAAGGTGGCATGTGAGCTGATTTTTAGTGGCACCCACACTGCCTGGGTCCTGGCCACCGGTCTGGGGAGCTCTGCATTTTAATTTAATTTTAAATGAAGCTTCTTAAACGTTTTAAAAACTTTATTTACTTTACATACAATAGTTTAGTTATATATTATAGACTTATAGAAAGAGACCTTCTAAAAACGTTAAACTGTATTACTGGCACGCGAAACCTTAAGTCAGAGTGAATAAATGAAGACTCGGCACACCCCTTCTGAAAGGTTGCCGACCTCTGATCTAATTGGTAGGAAGAGCAGCAGATGCTACTAAATGCTGGAGCTAAACTACATTTTTGAAAGATTCTTATTTAAATTTAGTGACAACCATTTACTACACCACCATATTTTTGCAACAGAAACAAAATGCAAATTATTGGAACAAGCTACAGATAATTCCTTCCATACTTACCAGCCACTCCTACCAATTTTCTCTATATAAATGAAACCATTTATACAGACTAATAAAATATTTTAATTTTACAATTAAGGAAAATCTCTCGTGATTTCCATTAAAAGACTGAGCACAGTAACATTCTAAACTGTAGAATGTTCTCTTCAGGCAGATAAATAGGCAGTCATCTCTCTTAGTTGCATTTCCTTAAAATATATAACAAAGATTTACAAGTGGTGCTAACAAGAAATAAAGTTAAGTGCTATTTATATGGTGAGCTTAACTAAATATGAAATTGGTCAGCTTTAGGAGAACAAGTCACAAAACAATAAATAAACCTATTCGGGTTTATCAACCTCTTCTGGCGAATGTTGTAAACTACATTAATACCATCTCCCCCCACCCTAAATAATTCAGAAATAGTATGAGATATCTCCTTCTCAAAATGTAGCTCCCACTACACACATAGTTTTACTCTATAAGTCTTACCACAGTTGTGGGTTTTTGCATGTAATGAAGACGATTATTAAGGTTGCAAAGTCAAACACTCAGGAGTCATGAAATGGCGGCCTCCTTGTATGTATCTATTATGATACAGTCATCAATTACACAATCACATACTACTATTTCCACAAGACCCCAGTGTCATTCAGTGCACATAATGGACAATGTTCACTTAATGAGCCAGACATTCTATATATGGTTTTCTCCTCATTGTTCAAAGTGTTGCTCATGCTTTATTTACCACATACTATTCAAACCCTGCTGTGAAAGTAGGGCTATTAATCTCCTCATAGACTTTTTCTATGATGATCATCACTATCCAAGTGCTTAACAAACATTAATGAATTTATTTTCACAACACCTCTATAAAATACATAGGTACTATCCCCATTTTACAGATGGCAAGCTGAGGCAGAGATTAAGGTGAAAAGTATCTTCTAATTTTAGATGCCCAATTTGAGATACCCAGAGCCTGATTTTTCAGCATTATAGCACTTATGTTTAGAGCACAGCCCCCATTGACTTCAATTGTAGTTCTGAGTGCTCAGCACTTCTGCAAATCAGACCCCAGGGCCTCAACTTTAACACCCAGAACATATGGAACACACAATGACTGAATGTGAAAAATCTGGTGCATATGAGTTACTTACAATCACAAAGGAACTCTGTGGCAGAGGCGGGGATAGAATCCAATTACCCAGAGTGGCATTCAACTGCTTTAACTATGAGACCATCCTCTATTTCCTGCAAAACCTCTGCCTCACTCACCACAACCTTTCAACTTCTGCAACAAATGAGGCAGGCGTCCTGCAGACAACAGCCTTCTTTGGTACACAACTCTGATTCATTTCCAAAGCAGGGTGGAAAAAATAGCATGTGATCATGTAATTAATGACTGTATCATAATGCTTACATACAAGGTGGCTGAATTAAGGTTGCCTGTGCATTTCCTAACTTTTGAGCCCTTTAATTTGCAACTTTAATATTATTTTAGTGTATTTTTTGTGTGCAAATCAAGGTGTTTTTTTTTAAAAAAGCAAAGTGAAAAAACCAAATTCCATAATGTGATATTTTACTGACATCCACATAGGTTATCTGCAGGACTGGAACCTTTAGATACACCGCACATAACTCTGCCACTTGAGCTAATGGGGTAAATCAGGGGTCGGCAACCTTTCAGAAGTGGTGTGCCGAGTCTTCATTTATTCACTCTAATTTAAGGTTTCGCGTGCCAGTAATACATTTTAATGTTTTTAGAAGGTCTCTTTCTATAAGTCTATAATATATAACTAAACTATTGTTGTATGTAAAGCAAATAAGGTTTTTAAAATGTT